CTTGGAATTCTGGGGGGAAAAAAAAAAATCAAGGAAATTAAAAAAAAATAAAAATCTGGGAATCCCAGCAGGAACTGGGATGGACTGGGAGAGGAAAAACTGGGCTAAAAATTGGGATAAAAATCCATGGATTTGGGTCTGAAATTCCAAACCTGAGAATTCCCAAGGGAAAAACCTCGGGAATTCCGGGAACAGCCTCAAAAAAATTAAAAATTTTAAAAAAAAGAGATTTGGGGAAATTTTGGAATTTTTATTTTTGATTTATTTTGGGAATAAACGGTGCTTTGGCTGAGCTGGAATTTGGGTCAAAATTCCTTGGATTTGGGGGAACTGGGTGGGAACCTGGACTGGGAGGAGGAAAAATGGGCTGAAAAAAGCAAATTTTGGGTCTGTTTGGGAGCAGAAATTTGGAAATTTTTCCTTTTTTATCCAGGGGAAAAATTGGGAATTTGGACTGGGATAAACTGGATGAACTGGGAGGGACTGGGATGAACTGGGAGGGGATGGAAAGGAAGAAAAATGGGCTGAAAAAAGCGAATTTTGCTCTGGCAGGAAATTCCAGTGGCTCCCCGCGTTCCCTCAGGAATTCTTCCCACAAAAAGGAGCTTTTCATTCCAAACCTTCCCAGCCGCGCCCTCATCCCAAAAAAAAAAAATCCTCGTCCCAAAATTTTCCATCCCCCCTCCTCCTGCCGCTTCTCAAAATATTCCCGATTTTTTTTCCACCCTCTTTTCCTCATATATTTCCATTTTTTCCCCATTTTTCTTCCTTTATTCCCACTTTTTCCCTCTTTTTTACCTTCCTTTTTTCCCGTTTCTTGTCCTTTTACTCCCGTTTGGAATTCTCCGGGTAAAAACCCCTTGAAAAAAGGGAAAATCCGGAGTTAAAATCCTCGGAAAAAGAAAATTTTTTTAGGGGGAATCTGTGAGGGGAGGCGGGGGCGTGGCCACAGCGCATACCCATATATGGACATAACGTGGGCGTGGCCTCATAGCAAAACACCCATATATAACTTTCGGTGGGCGTGGCCAAGGGCAGTGCCCATATATGGTTATTTATAGGCGTGGTCGCCACGCGCATTGACCAATCAGAGCGCTCGGGGGCGTGGCCGTGTCGTGGCGCCTGAGGGAGAAGGGCGTGGCCGCCGTGAGGGGCGGCCCAAGATGGCGGCGCGGCCGTGGCCGCTGCTGCTGCTGCTGCTGCTGGCGGGGCCGGACCGCGGCCCGGGCGGCTCCTCCGGGGGGCTCCGCCTGGGCCTCGGGCCCGGCCCGGCCGCCGGGTATTTCCCTGAGGAGCGCTGGAACCCGGAGTCGCCGCTGCGGCCGCCGCGCGTGGCCGTGGCGCTTCTGGCGCGGAACGCGGCCCATGCGCTGCCGCTGGTGCTGGGAGGGCTGGAGAGGCTGAGGCACCCCAAGGACAGGATGGCGCTGTGGTGAGTCTGGGGACACTGGGGACATGGGGGGGACATGGCACCCCAAGGACAGGATGGCGCTGTGGTGGCTGAGGGGACATTGGGGACATGGAGGGGAGTGTGGGGAACACTCAGGGACAGGCTCCCTATGTGACATCCCCTGTGTGTGACACTGTCCCTGTGTGTGTGACACTGTCCTGTGTGTGACACCTCTGTGTCCCCTGTGTGTGACACTGTCCCTGTGTGTGTGACACTGTCCTGTGTGTGACACCTCTGTGTGACCCCGTGTGACCCCGTGTGACCTCATGTGACCCCGTGTGACACTCGGGTGTCCCCGTGTCCCCCCAGGGTGGCCGTTGACCACAGCGTGGACAACACGTCGGCTCTGCTGGCCGAGTGGCTGGGCCGGGTGCGGGGCCGCTACCACCGCGTGCTCTGGAGGCACCAGGAGGAGCCCACGTACGTCCTGGGGGCGTCAAGGCCAATTTTAGGGGGTCCTGGGGGGATTTTGGGGGGTCCTGGGGTGTTTGGGGGAGGATTTTGGGGGTCCTGAGCGGGGTTTTGGGGTGTCCTGGTGGGAGTCTCTGCATTGGGGGTTTGGTCACTTGAGGGAGGGGAGGCACCAGGAGGGGCTTGAGGGGGATCCTGGGAGAGTTTGGGGGGCTCCTGGGGGGTTTTGGGGGGTCCTGGGGTGTTCGAAGGGGTCTTGGGG